AACAAAAAAATACAAAAATTAGTCAGGCGTGGTAGCGCATGTTTGTGGTCCCAGCTACTTGGGAGGCTGAGGTGGGAGGATTTCAGCCCCGGAGGTTGAGGCTGCAGTGAGCCGAGATTGTGCCACCGCACTCCAGCCTGGGTGACAGAGCAAGACCTTGTCTTTAAAAAAAAAAAAAAAATTGGCGTGGCATGGTGGTGTGTGCCTGTAATCCAAACTACTAGGAAGGCTGAGGCAGGAGGATCTCTTGAGCCCAGGAGTTTGAGGTTGCAGTGAGCTATGCTGGTGCCATTGCATTCCAGCCTGGGCAACAAAGCAAGACTCTGTCTCAAAACAAGAAAAAAGACTGTAAACCATCTCATTAATTATTTTTATTTTGATAAGATGTTGAAGTGATATTTTGGATAATGCTAACATTTTAGGTGAAATAAAACTAATTTCACCTGTTTCTTTGTAACTTTTCTTTTTTTTTTGAGACGGAGTCTCACTCTGTTGCCCAGGCTGGAGTGCAGTGGCGCAATCTTGGCTCACTGCAAAGTCTGCATTCTGGGTTCACCGTGCCCAGCCTCTTTTTAACTTTTCTAAGGTGACTACTAGAAAATGTAAAATGACGTATGTGTCTGGCACTGTATTTCTACTGAAAACCACTGCTCTAGAGAGAAATGGTCTCTGGGGAGGCAGAAATATGAGAACCACAAGAGAGGTGGATGGAGGGAAGTGACAGACACATCTGGTGGGTACCTTCAGGTGCTGACAGCGGGAACCCAGGAGATTCAGGTGTGGACAGGCCCCATCTATGCACAGCAGGAGAGGAGCATGGCTGACACTAGGGGTGCTGAGCTGACATACAGAACTATTCAGCTTTATAAACATGTGAAAAACATACCGCTAAGTCACTGACAACCCACAGAACAAATCATAATAGAAATGAAAAAACAGCCGGGCATGGTGGCTCATGTCTGTAATCCCAGCACTTTGAGAGGCTGAGGTGGGCGGATCATGAGGTCAGGAGATCGAGCCCATCCTGGCTAACATGGTGAAACTCTGTCTCTACTAAGAATGCAAAAACAAAATTAGCCGGGCGTGGTGGCGGGAGCCTGTAGTCCCAGCTACTCCGGGGGCTGAGGGGGGAGAATGGCGTGAACCCGGGAGGCAGAGCTTTCAGTGAGCCAAGATTGCCACACTACACTCCAGACTGGGCAACAGAGCAAGACTCCATCTTAAAAAAAAAAAAAAGAAAAAGAAAAAGAAAAAAGAGAGAAAATTAATCTCGAGGGAAAATATAAAACACTTCTTCATGAACATTAGAGAGTCCTAACAACCAAAACATCTGGAATTAGGGTAACTGAAATGGCAGTTTAACCCTCCTGAAGGAATGTTAATTTCTCACTAACAGTACTTTAAAGTTAGGGGTAGAAAATTATTTTTTATAGTGTTTCACAAGCATTAAAGTTACAAATCCAAAATCACGTTCTTCTCTGACAGGAACTCCTCCTCAAAACAGAAGAAGCCTATAGGACTTTAACCTGGAAACTACTCAGGGAATCTGGAATATTCCTTCCGGGGGTATCTACAATTGAAACCTGGCAGTAATTTAAAACAAACCAGACAACTCTTGGGGTATGGTTGGAGCCTGAAGTCTACAGATGGTTCATTTTATATGCTGAGGTCTGAACAAGATGATTTTAACCTCTTAAAATGAGAGAAACAAAATACAACAGAATAAATTAGAAGAGAACACAGATGAGTGGTTTAAAGGGCCTACTTGCTGTGTTTCCTCTGGTCTTCAGGTCTCCTCGCTGCTGCGGGATCCAGGAGCAGCTCTAGACCAAGAAATGGGAGGATTTTAGAGTGACTGGTGAATTCTCTATCATCTGCAGTTAGTAAACATTCTCCGCAGTCTATGCAAAAAGTAACAAAACCACTGCAGATGACAAACACCAGGTAACACATATGCTACCTCCCAAAAACCTACCCACAAGCTCAACAATTTTAAACTGTTAGGATCATTGGCTCTGATCACCATGACTTGAGGTCACAACCAAACCGTCAAGCGCTAAACAGAGAGAAGGTTTCCACTCTTAATCCACTGTGTGGAGAAGCACAGAGCTTACCCATTGGGGCGCTGCATCAGAAGAAACGTGCACACACCGGGGTGTGCGTTTGAAGGGAGCGATCAAACTACCACTCCCACAGCTCCTCTGTTCACGGGCACTGCAGTCTATGGCCTCATGTCCTTTGGGGGACGCAGTGGGAAGGTAACCCACATGCCAGTGACACCATCAAGAAACAGACACTGTGGGACTTTGCCCTGATTTCTTGGGGTCTTTTCTCTTTCCCCTTTGGGTTATATGTAGACTTCCCCACTGTCCGCCTGACCACTCTCGTGCAGCCCAAAACCATAGCCTAAGTCACCAGCTAGGCCTTTCTTGGTGTAACTATTGAAAGGTGAGCCTCACCTGTTCAACCTCTAGAGAGATTTCTTCAAAATCTGGACCTAGAATAATATGTAAACAAGATTTGCCTCAGTACGTTTGGCTTCTTCCTTCTTGGGGGAAGCCCTTAAGAAATATCAGCCCCTTGGCCAGGCGCCCGCCTGTAATCCCAGCACTTGGTGAGGCCTAGGCGGGCGGATCACCTGAGGTCAGGAGTTCGAGACCAGCCTGGCCAACATGGTGAAACCCCGTCTCTACTAAAAATATTTTAAAAATTAGCTGGGCGTGGTAGTGGGTGCCTGTAATCCCAGCTACTCTGGAGGCTGAGGCAAGAGAATTGCTAGAACCCAGGAGACGGAGGTTGCAGTGAACTGACACGGTGCCACGGAACTCTAGCCTGGGAGACAGAGCGAGACTCTGTCCCCCCAGAAAAAAAGAAGTATGAGACCATTTATCCAACAACTCCTTGTGACCCTCCTTCAGGAACACAGGGCAAATCCCCCCAGCTCCACACACTATAGCACAGGACAGACCCACAGAGAACAAGACCCCAGAGAAGCCACCATCATACAAACTCGGGGCAGGGTTTCCACCATCAAATGCTCGAACCTGCAGTGGGCAGGGGAGGGTGGTGGGTCCTGAGCTCCAGATTTTCATGGAGGTGGGAGGTGGGCATTAGGCTTTGAGGAGACGTGTAGGCCCAAATTACATCTCTGCAAACTCACACACAATGAAGCTTACACCAGGTCGGGTGAGATGGTTTAGAAATGACAGAAAGCCGAGGAACAGGCTGAAAATATGGGCTTCTCTGTAAACTGTGAGGATGGTAAATGCCAGCAACACCCCAGGAAGTGTTTCTAGCCGCATTTCTTCAATTAACAGGGCAAAGTTAGAGCAGCAACAACCAGACAAGGGCCAGGCACTTCCCCTGGGGCAACTGATGTAAACCTGGAAATCAGCCACCCTCGGTGTCACCATTTCATGATGAATCAAATATACAGAGAAGTTCATTGACGGGTTCGGCATCAGAAAGCTAATAAATAAAGCCAGAGTCCTAGGCATATACTGAATACTCGCTGACTGAAAATCAACCTCACTGGATAAGCGCAAAGAAATTCACTTTCCACATCCCTTAAGAATCCTCTCTGGTGGGTATTTGCTCTGTAAATTACATACGACAGAAGAAAAGGAAGAAAATGAAAACTCAGGAAAGTAAACACACTTCTAAACTCATGAATAGTAAAATACGGAAATATCCCTGAGAATCTATGAGAATATCCAAAGAACATGCAAGATAGGAGGGTAAAAAGTCCATTTGGCAAAGCCTACAAAGTGAGTCCAAAATACGGTTCACAAGGAAACTTACCTTCCAATGCATCCAAAACAACAATAGCAAAAGAAGCTCCTGATTCCTACTGAAGTGAGAATAATATCAGCAGAAACAGAAGGAAATCAGGCCAAAAAAAAAAAAAAAAAAAGTTACAGGCCAATTTCTAAACCGCTGTTAGATCTAAAACAAATGAGAAAGTCCTGCCCTAACCAATAAACCGGAACAAACACTGCATTTCAAACACTGGGGGAAGTGGGTGAGGGTGAACCTGTTCTGTGCAGGACCCTTCTAACATATGGGAGAGTCTCTGACGACTCCTCAGAATTATGCCATCAACTACAAAAAACACAATTCATAGAATTTCAAAGGAGACCAATTACTTAGAAATGCAGCTATCAGGATACTTTAATTTTTCTGATATATTCATAGGCGTGTTGCTGTGGTAGTTTTAAATAATGGTTGAACATTTCTTGCCACTCCTCCCTTTGAGAGGCAGAATTGATGTCCTGTCTCCCCGATCCTGGGTGGATTTGCTGAGCTACCTCATAAAAGACCACTCAGCATCCGCCCTGGAGCCCTGTGCCACCTCAGAATTCCGACTACCCTGAGGCTGCCAGGCTCTAAGGAAGTCAAGGCCATATGGAGACACTACATGCAGGCACTCAATCCCAGCTGAGCCCCATCTTCCAACATCCCAAGCCAGGTATCAGCTGTGAGGGAAAAGCCTCCAAATGCGTCCAGATCCCAGCTGTTGAGTCTTCCGTGCTGAGGTCAGACATCACGGAACAGAGACAAGTGGGCTACCCTTGGGCCCTGTCTCAAATCCTGACTATGAGCATGAGAATCCACAAACATAATAAAATGATTATTTGAGCCACTAAATTCTGGTGTAATTTCTGCCATAGTAACAGTGCCTGTAACAGCCACCTCAACACATTAAGTAACAATAGCAAGTAGCAAGTCATCACCGGGAACTGTTCCTTGGAACTGTCTTGGGAAGCAGTGACAACCACAAAGGCTATTTGGAGATGTTGTCAGATGACATGAAAACTGCTGTGGTCTCACTGCTAACAATGCCCCATACCCGACGGGTCTACAGCCTATATTCAACATGGAAGGAAACACCCCATTTTGGTTAGAGGAATGTGATTTATATGTGTATATATATAAATCGGCCGGGTGCGGTGGCTCACACCTGTAATCCTAGCACTTTGGGAGGCCGAGGCGGGCAGATCACCTGAGGTCGGGAGTTTGAGACCAGCTTTGACCAACATGGAGAAACCCCACCTCTACTAAAAATACAAAATTAGCCGGGCGTGGTGGCGCATGCCTATAACCCCAGCTACTCACGAGGCTGAGGCAGGAGAATCACTTGAACTGGGGAGGCAGAGGTTGCAGTGAGCCGAGATCGCACCATTGCCTTCCAGTCTGGGCAACAAGAGCGAAACTCCGTCTCAAAATAAATAAATAAATAAATAATCAAAATCAGTATTATAGTTCATAAAGGAAATCCCAAAACCTCCTTAACTGGTTGTTTCTTTCACAAAAGTTACTCTACACACGTGCTCCAAAAATAAGATTTCAAAGACACTGGGGAAAATACTACTACTAAGATATCAAAACCAGGAATTATTTCCTTTTAAACAATTCCAAACTAACTCGCTGTGCCTTTCAAAGAAATTTCCCACAAGAAATATGATTTTATAAGGCCGGGCGCGGTGGCTCAAGCCTGTAATCCCAGCACTTTGGGAGGCCGAGACGGGCGGATCACGAGGTCAGGAGGTCGAGACCATCCTGG